GGGGGGGGGGGGGGGGACAGGGGAGTGACAACCTCCCGCTTCCCGTACCCTGTTCTCCCGCTTCCCGTACCTTTTTGTTCCTTTGTCTCCCGACTCCCGCCCTTTATTGTATTTTTCCTGTCATCATGTAAATTAAAAAGATCAGAAGCCCCGGTTGAGTGTTAAAGCTGTAGGGTAATTTGCCAAAGATGAAAATTGTTACAAGTCAGTTTTCTTAGTTAAACTGAGTTTTCACTAACCTGGTTTTCTAGGTTTGACCACTGCTTCTGACATCCCACCACAGCGATTATAGTCTCAGTCCACTGTGCAGTGTAATAGCTATTGCAGTTATCAAAGATGCATTAACATGCATTTAGGAATCCCGAAATTACGGGGATCATGCCAAAATGAAGTCGAAGGGCCAAACATTACGGTAGAGTTCAGTACTCCTGTCTAGCTCCCAGCGTCTAATTGTACTAATTGCCACGGTTAGTTTTCGTTATTTTTCATAAGTAGTCGTAAGCTATAAAAACTGACTTCAACGAGACAATAATTGCATGTTCGTTATCCGTTTGCATTTTAAAGCGTTCAGTTTAGTGCTGGTGGAGTATTATTGTTTGCTGGTTATCAAATCTCAAACCTATTCATATTTGCTTGAGAAGTTGTATCTTTCATCAAACATCGGCGGGGAGGTTTAACGATTATTCATACATTTTTACATCGGAGTGATGCATCTATGTCCGATTTTAACAAGAAGCATTTGAAGAAACGAATGCTCTGCTCTTATTGGCTTATTACAAGTTAAATAACAGGACAGGGAACAGATGGCAATATGTGTAAAAAATGCCGTTATTTTGCTACAGTAAACAAACTAGAAAAAGTCTTCCATGCGCCGAGGAGGTCGCACTGATCTCCTCCTACTCCAAATGTTAGTTAGTTAGTTGCAAACTACAATCGTACGGAGCGAGCTCCCAGGAAGGTCTTCCAGGTACGGATTTTTCCACATCACACCGAAAAATACTTAGACCGATAAAAATGATCTTTGACGACATTTTACCTGCGAGACTGGTCAAACAGATGAGACACTGACACGACTAACACAGTCGACACACATGTACTTGTGTCACGTCACTTCATTCATGAGGACTCCTGACCTATGATGTCACCGACTTGGAAAGGTTTCCAATTTCACCGGAAGTAATGCTCTTTTTTCTATCCCGAGTGCGAATTTACGTTTTTTGACTTTTCTCGCATTAAAATTTTGATTTAGGGCCNGAAGTAATGCTCTTTTTTCTATCCCGAGTGCGAATTTACGTTTTTTGACTTTTCTCGCATTAAAATTTTGATTTAGGGCCTCGGAGAACGTTAAATGGAAGTCAAGAAACGTTGTTGGGTTCGTTTCTTTGACTGGATGATGAGCAGTATTAATTAACGAAAGCTTGCCTTTTGGAATTTCTCTCTCGCTTCCCGCCATTATAGAGATCCCGCTTCCCGCCCTTTCTTCTCCCGTCTCCCGTACCCCTCCCGCCCCCTGTTCATCCGGGCTCCCACCCCCCTGTCCCCTTCCACTAAACTGGTCTGTAAAAACCGCCGTGACATAAACCTAGTGTGGGAGTTGCTAACTTTGGGTTATGGGCTCCTGGTATACGTAATAGGACTGTAGACATGCTGTTCAATTTGGAAATAATTGGATGAAAAAATTCCAAGGACAGCCAAAATTGGATGAAGCCATAGGCCGAGTCCAGTTTGGCTGTCAGAAGAATTTGGTAAGTTTTTGTGCGGCCCTGAGATGTACTTTGTGTCAGAGATAATTGTTTGTCTGGCAGCAAAAAGTAAAGAAAGAGAACAAGGTGTGCATGACTTATCTGGAACTGACGCCCAACAATAGAAATTCTCAGCTCATAAACACCAGCATCTGATCAACTAGATACATCTTATGTTCCTCACCAAACCTTTGCACAATCCTTCCAAAAATTACTGAGAAAAGTGATACTGAAGTTGCAAAAGCCGCTTTCTCCACATAATCAATGCCAAATTCTCTACAAGCTTCCACCTCTGAGTTTTCTTATTCCACTGTTTGTTGCTGTGTTTGTTATACCCGCTTATTAATTAGTGTAATGTTTTTTTTCTGGAAGGATGCGATGTCAGAGTTCTTGAAAAACCACCGGGTGGATATTTTACCTATGAAGAGATAAAAGAGGCAAGTTCTTTTGCTTTATTTTAAATTTAAATACAAGTGACCAGAACCAATTAAGCCTTTCTGTAACCCCAACACAAATTCTCGAGACTAGGTCTCCATACAATCTTTAAAGAACTAGTTGAAAGAATTAAATAAAAGATCAAACCTATTTCCCTTTAGTGATCAATTTCACAAGATGTATTCTTGATACTAGAACACTGTTGGGGGAAATTGTTGTTGGTCACACTTGGAACTTAAAGGGTTAAACAAAACATTAAGCAAACTGTGAATTCCAAACAAGGTTGTTTGAGTTAACCAATAATATTATTGTTAATTGATTTGACCCATAGTTATAGCTTTGTCTGTTCTTTGGTAATTTAATAGATTTCCTTCAAGCTAAGAGCAGTGGCATAATTTGTTATGCACCACACCAAAACTACAAGACTTAAGCTATGTGCAAATGGACACAACAACTCCCAACATTGTTGGCCCTGAATCAATGTTTGGAGTTGTTGCGTCTGTTTGCACATGGCTTAGAAAAGTTGGACTGGTTTCAGAGATTGTGCAACAACTCGCAACAACATGCAACAACTTGCAACAGGGTGACTGCAAATGGACACAGCATGTAACATCCAACAATGTTGCGCCCATTTGCACTGTGTGGGCTTTAGCCTAAGAAACTAGCCAACAATTTGCCACATTACCAGAGGTTTCCTCTCGAAGTGACTGCGCTCTAAGAAAAATTGAAGGGAGCCCTGAGTGCTCTGAACCTGTGAAGTCTACGGAGCCCAGCATATGATTTCTATGAGAAAGTAAAGATTTTCTAGTCTCCTGGGGGCATAAATTAAACTCCAGGGGCCACTGGACACTGCTAGAGCACAGCCTTAATTGCAAGCGACGAATGATACTGTTAACAAAGTAAACATTTTTTTCTTTTTGTATAGGGTCTTGAAAAGAACAAGCCTGTAGCTCTTTTTGTTGTTCACAGTGAATCTTCTTCTGGAATTTGTCAACCACTGGATGGCTTTGGACCTCTTTGTCATGAGTTAGTTAATAATAAAAACTATTTTATTATAAATTAAAAACTGTATGAAAATAATAATAACAACAAAAACAAGAAGCATAATCTGAACTCTAAAGGTTTCTTCAGGCTTAAAATCAATGTATAAAGAAAAAAAAACACTTTGTCTTTAAAATAATATTAAGGGCTAATATGGAAGGTAATGTTTTGGTTTGTAACAAGGGAGAGTTTTCTCTAAGATTGAAGCCCTTTGGCTGCAATGGCAGACCCAAATCCAAGAGAATGTAGAGAACAGACTTCCACTTTTATGAGAAATAAGACAACAGTGATTTCCTAAAAATGTTTACAAGGGATTTAGCACTAAAAAATATGCAAATGGTTAATGAAAAGAGATCTGAAAGTCTTCCTTAGACAATTATAAATTATGTTTAAATACTGTTAAGCACTGTTTTATGTTCAGTGTTTAACTGATCTGTTTTTTGTTCTGTTTTTAGACATGACTGCTTGTTAATTGTGGACACTGTCGCATCTCTTGGTGGGACGCCTTTCTTTACTGATGATTGGGAACTTGATGTTGTGTATTCAGGTTCTCAGAAGTGTCTAGGTGCACTGCCAGGTGTTGCCCCCATAACCTTCAGTCCTAGAGCTATGTGAGTGTTTTCTTTATTACTTTACTTCAATAATACGTTTCTCAGATTTTGTTTTATAATATTGTGCATTTATGAGGCCAGACGCCCCATTAAGCAGAAATAATGGTCAGCGAGATTTTTTAAAAAGTCTGTACCAGTATATTCTGCAAAATGGACCTGTATGGAGTCAACGCCTGCAGGCGACTCAGGATCACTTGAGTTATTCACCAGTTCAAGTTTCACTGTGAATACATAGATAACAATGCAAATCCCTGTTTTATGGGGGTCCAATTCAAATTACAGAAGCACCGTAATCAATCCTGCTCATCAAAATTTTTTTTAGACTAGCCAAAAAGACTATGCTAGCCACAGCTTGCCCAAATGGCAAGTTGAAAAACTGACACCTTCTTTTCACTTTGGGATATATCGCTATCCCCTGGATAAATCTCTATCCGGTGTATATATAGTGCAATTAGTTTCCCCAACAAGACGTCTCCGGTGGATAGTGATTTATCCGATGGATAGTGCTATCCAAATTTTCAACAACCAGAGCCTGAAGTTCAAGGTAGACTGCTCAACCTCCACACCTCTGCCTCTGCTGACTTAATACCTTGGCTTAATGTCATTTGCTTGCTTTTGTTATCAGGGCTAAGGTGAATGGTCGTAAAACCAAGGTACCCTCATTTTACTTGGATATGACTGAACTGGGCAACTACTGGGGATGTGATGATGGACCAAGAAGGTAAACTTCTGAATTCACAAGGATTTCTCAATATATCCTTGCATTATGAGTTTTTTTGTTAGCCTTTTTAGTTCACTATTGACAAATTCACCAAAAAAACAAACATTGCTCCCAATTAGCAACAGCTGCATGTAGTTGAGGTGAGCATTAGTGGAACTGACACACACACAGTAATAATAAAAAAGCTCACTAGAGAAAACAGTAGGGAAAAAAGAAATTAAAATTGACTAATACTTTATTGAAAAAAAGGGCAAACAGGTAATTATTTGTAAAATAAAAAAATGTTAAATAAAAACGGAGTTTTCAAGAGATTGTCATCCAGTAAGTCTAGGTTAACAAAGATGCCTTTGCCTAAGTTGAGAAAAAGTGGTACTTTGTATTAACCCTTTAAGTCCCAATAGTGACCAACATCAATTATTTTCTCCCAACAATATCCATACATTGTCAACAGATAAGTTATGAGAATTAATAAAGTGATCACCCAAGAAAAAATACCTTGATCTTTTATCAAATTCTCTCAACTCATTCTTTAAGGAAATGTATGGAGATCAGTTTGGAGAACTTGTATGTGGATACTGGGGCTTAAAGGGTTAAGAGTAAGAGGTGTTAGTGCCTAAAGCAATTTCAGTTGTTGAGTAGGATAATTGCATGATGACGTCATTTTTCTACAACTACCAGAATCCTTTAGTTTGTTGTTTTCTAGTGCAAATTAAGGATGTTGCTTTTTTAAACCTCAGCAGGATTGACAAATTTAAATAAGAAAGCAAAACGAAGTGAATTCTGGTGGTTGCAGTCAAATGTCGTCATCGTGAAAATGGCCTTTTAGCCTGTGAGCAAGCACCCTGTGGAGTGGGGCTAAGGGAAACTCCCCCCTACCCTCACCCGCCGATCCACTTGTTCAGAGGCGGGAGTTTCAAGTGTAACTCAAATTTTAAAAAAAATCTATAGAACCTGATTAATCAAATCAACCCTTCTGCAAAATTTAAAAAAAAAACACTAATAGTTACATTTTTTTCATAGATACCACCACACAGCTGCAATTAACCTGGTTTATGCCTTGAGAGAAAGCCTTGCTATTCTGGCAGAGGAGGTAAATTAAAATACCTGGGCTCTCTTCTTTTATATGTCTTAAATATCTTCCAAAAAACCTTCCATATGGTTGTAATCGCAGACTGAGTTGACAATATCCATTGTACAGATCATACCCTCAAGTCCCAGGTCTTATCACCCCAATTGGACGGCTTGTCCGCACGTTTTTCAGGATTTTACTCTGTCTTAGAGCTAATGACCAAAATGTCAGCTTTCTTATCTCTTAGTTTGTGGTGACTGATTTCCTCAAACAACTCAGTTGATAAGACAACCTTTTTTGTTTCACTCAATGCAGAGCCACTGTTTCTTTACAAAGTAACCCGTTCGTCTTTTTGAAATTAGACTTTGTGCGTGGTTTGATGGTTAGTTACGCAACTATTGTGATCATTTAAAGTTTTTTTCTGAACTGCAATGCATGCACTGGGATGAATCACATTGTATGTTGCTGGAGGTTGGTCACCCCAATTATCTTGACCTAAAAAAAAAACAATTATCTGCGTTGTGAGTTAAATTTTAATGATTTGGCAATCACCAGGGGCTAGAAAATTCCTGGAGGCGGCATCATGACACCATTGAACATTTCTGGACGGGGCTTGAGAAGATGGGGTTGGAGATGTTTGTGGCGGACAAGGTGAGTTTTAGCTTCTTTTTTTGTTTTTGTTTTATTGTAAAACCAATTTGTTAGACTGTGTAAGTTGTTGTTTTCACGTACGTCAGCAATAATACAACTATTGCAATCGTCTGCTATATTATTGTTAAATTTAAAAAAGAGCACTGATCAAAAATTACGCAGCGCGTTCGACCTCTGTCGATCTCTAAGCTCTCTGCCCGCGAACAGCTAACAGGATTGATTGAGTAAACAACAAACAAACAACAGAATCAGTAGTCGAACCTCTTCCTTAAACGATAGAGGTTCTTTGAACAGGTAAAAAAATTGCCAACGCACAGGCTATGGATTTCTGCAGTTTTTCTCCTTAAAATCGCGCGTACGGCACATTATTATCAAACTTTTTCAAGTACGAACACCTCCGTTAAAAACAAGCAGATCTTGTTCTCAACTCAACATTGATTTTAATGGCTGAATTGCGCCTGTATACATTAACTCTCACATTGCTGTAATGAATCGAAGCATTAATCACTACGTTTCCATTCACTAATAGAAACGCAGATAATGGGGTGACTGTCAAAAATAGTTCTGCTTCTTCAAATTATTGCGAAGTTTCTGATCGGCTTAAATCCGCGACTAACGACGGAAATTTTGATTGGAAATAATAACCGCTCCTCGATCTGCTAGGTGATCTGCTTAACTCTTCCTAGTGACTATCATATTCAGCCTGGTTAGTATTACTGTTGTTTACAAACTAATACAAATGTCCATTTCCTTTACTCCTTTAAGGCTCTTCGTCTTCCAACAGTAACAAGCATTAAGATCCCTGAAGGATTTCCAGACTGGAAAGCTGTCCCAGATTATCTGATGAAGAAGTGAGCGGAACACTTTTCTCCCTTATCATTGAGATATGCCTACCCCACCCCTTCCCCCCTCCCGTTTTGCAAATGCAAACAGTAGACTCGTGTGTTACGAACAGAAGATTCTGTCACTACCACGAAGCCACGAACTGGGTCACTGTCGTCGAATTCTGGAAAGAAGCAGAGCATCCATGCATGTCGAAATTTCCACCCTTAGCAGCTTTTATATTTTTTGACAGAAAACACTTGAATTTACAAGAGTAGCCAGAAGCTATGGTCTGCGTCAGTAGTATGCACAGTTTGAAGGCTCGTTGCTTTTTTTGTGCATTTGTAAGAAAAGCTCCTTTCGAATACCCTTCTACGTGACGGTACGAAGTTGCATTTCTTTGTAATCTACTATTTCGCCATTTCTTGAAGGTTTTATGGGCACCTTCTTTCTGCTCTTTAATGCATTGAACGGATTATGATTTCGTCAGCCTAAAATTTCAGGATAACCTTCTAGTGGAAACTGCAGGAAAACTAAACTTCGTCTGAAAAAAATTAGCGAAGACTGAAAATAGATGACACTCCGGTGAACGTCGACCTAAGGCTACGTCCATGCGACTCCAGTTCGTTTCAGTTCGTACACGAATTCACTGCAAACGTACGAGTTTATCACTTCCGTCCCTCGTGAACTCTACGTGCGTTCTCTATGCAGTCTGTGTTCTAAACGGATACTACTGAGAAATCCTTATGTTGTGAGTAACCGTAATTTTATTTTTTTCAATATTTGCCAGGTACAAGCTTGAAATTGTAGGTGGTATGGGTCCAACAGTAGGAATGGTAAGTCGCCTTGCTATTAACTGATCATGGTTTACAAGAAAGCAAAGTCAACGGAACAGTGAATCAATCTAGCTTTGGCTGAGCACGCGACTCGTCTGATTTTTACCTAACTTCTACATTGGAACCCGGACTTCTGCCGTGTAAGGAGGCTACGTTATATAACATTTACGTTACGTTACGCGGTTTGTACCGAAATGGGGATGCTTACGGTCTACTCGCCAATTC